CTCTCTCTCTCTCTCTCTCTCTCTCTCTCTCTCCCCATCTCTCCATCTCTGTCACTTAATGAATAGCTGACCTTGGCACCTCCGGAAGAATCCAATTTGTGTTACAAAGGCTCCAAATATGACAGGGGATTGAGGGCGGATAGATTGAGAGAGACGGGGAAGAGGACAAAGCATGTACAGCAACGAGGATTACTGTCGGAGGAAAAGAGACGAGGATGCGAGGAGAAAAAAAAAATACAGAAAGATATGAGTGAAAGAAATTCATGACAGAAAAAATACACAAGATATTTATTGAGAGCTGGACTTTATGAAGGATGTATAAATATTTATAAACACACTGATGACAGGATGGGTAGCTGTGACAAAAGCACCCAGGCAACAAGAGGAGCGTTTACCTGTGATGAATGGGAGGAGGAGGAGGAGGAGGAGGAGGAGGAGGAGGAGGAGGAGAGAGAGAGAGGTTGATGTGTTAGAGGTAGATAATGTGAGAGAGGTAAAGTACAGGAGGTATAGAGTGTCACCTAAAAAGGACCAAGAGATAGCGAGCGGGGGCAGAGGTGCAGGAACTCAATCCCAGTGCAAAGACAACAGCTGAAGATAAAAACCTCCTCACCTGAACGCACCGAGAGAGAGATGGACAGGAGCGCGGCGTCAATACTCGGACAGAGAGGAGGAACTAGATGAACATTTGAGTTATTATTTTTCCTTGAATCCCTCCACTCATTCTCTCCATTTTATTTTCTACCCGGAACAAAGACCTCATCAACAGAGCGGAAACTTTTGCTGAATTTTTCAATCTTTTAGAGCTGATTTTGTGACGAATTTGATAAAATAAGAATAAAAATAAACAAAAAGCTACTGCCGAAGAGAGGAGAGCAGGGAAGAGGCAAGAGAGAGGGTGAGGGAGGGGGAGGACGAGCGAAGGCAGATTGAGGGAGAGTGAACGTGAGCCAGTGACACCGAGATGTTCATGCTCATTCGAGAGCCGTCCGCTGGAGGAGGCAGTTCAGGAGCGATGAGTGCGCCATCGGAGAAGAGTGCAAAACAGGTGCGTGAATACATGTGTCTGTGTACATACATGTATATATATATATATATATATGTGTGTACAGTATGTATGTGTGTTATTTGTGTGAGTAATATTTTCTGTCAAGCTCTCTTTACAAACATCTTCTTATGCTTTTTTATCTGCAATTGTATGTAAAAAAAAAAAATGTGATTGAGTTCCACAAAACTCAATTCCAAGATGTGGTACCTTAAATATCATCTTTATCATCATATACTGTATAGTCTAATTGATGTAACGGATGTGTTATCTCTCATACCCTATTAAATATTAGATAAATACTATGCAAACGTTAAAACAATATTTGTATATATGTGTATGTATGTTGGTAAAACATGATTCAAATAACACTGTGTGGTGTTATTATTTGCATGTTAATAGGTAAATAAAGTAGATTACGTTACTCTATCTAGTTGCTTTCTAGAGCAGATGTTAAAGTGCTCCACAACATCAGACAAGAGGGCAAACACAGTTTGTCTCTACTCTCTACCATATTTTGCATCTTTGTAAACTACTAAATGCGTCAAAAACTAAGGCGTGAGCATCCGTCTTGATGTAACCATGGTGTGTGAAAGCTTGAACGCAGATTTAATGTTCTGAACTCAGTTCCTCAACCCTCTGCCACCCCTCAGGTGCAGGCCGCCATCAAGAAGAAGCTGGAAAAGCAGAAGAAGCGAAGCAACGTGCAGGGAGGAGGTGATGGAGACGCTCAAACTGCGACACCTCAGCCTCCTCGCCACCGGAAATCCAGTCAGTTCCCCCGGATGATGGCGGCGGCGGCGGCGGCGGCATCTGAGGACAGGGAGACGCTGGAGGAGGAGCTGGATGAGATGATGGAGAGACCACAGAGGGGAGAGAGGGAGAAAGAGGAGGAGGGGGAGCCTGTCGACCTGCTGCCCATCGTGGACTCTGTGTTTGGACAGGTAGGAGCTGCAGTGTGAGGGTGTGACTCACTACTTCACACCTGTGTGTCTCTGACACTTTTGCCACTCTGCGTGTGTTTCACGCGCTGCATCGAGTTCTCCGGCTGATTGAATGTCTCGCCGCCAGCTTGGTTAAAACTTTAAACCTCCAATTCAAATTTAAAGCCTCCTGGAAATGGCGGGAGCAGCAAAGCACGAGGGCTAGAGCTAAGGATGGAGATAGCGTGTGATGGAGAGGATTTAAACTCCTTCACTTCGGGAAACATATAGCGAAAGAGTAATCCGTAACAGATACGGCCATAGTTCTGATGAACACCCAGTATCACATCACATCCCATCACTCACAGTGTAAGCAGTGACACATGACACGGCATGCTACCTCTATATGCCATTACAGCATCTGTCAAATAAGTGATGTCAGCGGTGATGCAAGTGAGCCAAAATTAGAGAGACTGGCTTAGTGAGTGGGAGAGAGGAGCATGTTGGCAAAGCCCGGAGAGAAGATTTATCTTTTCTTGGTTTCTCTGTAGGGCGCATCCGGGTCCCTGAACCTCACTTTGACAACCGGTGTATTATAGGAGGAACTTGTGTGTATAGGCAGCAGATCGTAGACAGCGGGAGCCTCGGCCCACAAATACGGGACTGAAATCAAACAGACGGAGCTTGAAGCGGCTCGTGCAAACTCCTCATCTTCTTAAAGCTCAATTACTCGCATCACAACAATCATCACAACAACCCCTGAAACTATCCGACTAGCGATGTGTTTAAGGTACATTTTGTTTCTGGTTATTTGCAATCATTATTTTGCTTTCACACTTTAAGATTTATTGTTTTTTCTCATGATGATTGATTAATAATAATATTAATAATAATAATAATAATAATAATTCATATTTATATGATATTTATTATCAGTGTGCTTCCGTTTGTGCTTTCCTGTCTGCTCAATGAGTTCAACGAGGCAAATATAAAAAATAAATTACCAACAAATCAATGTAATTTGGCACATTATAGGTTATAATAATTGTCTTTACACCCCTATAAAAATAATAAACAATTTGGGTTCACTGCAGTTATTTGAGTTCATAACTAATTGTTGATTTCCAGATAATGGTTCATTTACCCCATTACATATCAATTAAAGTTTTTAATTATTGTCGCGGTACATTTCAACCTGTATTTTCCTTGAGTATTTCTATTTTATGCTACTTTATACTTCTACTCCACTCCATTTATTTGACTGCTATATTACCTTTAAGATTAATATTCCAAATCCAAGCATTTGATCAACATGTAAAATATGATCCATTTTTATTGATGACATACTTCACTATGATATAAAGTAGTTAAAACTCACTACAACATTGACAATGCTTCTCACACATTCATGCATCAGTACTGATAATCTAATAACACCAACAGTGTTGCTGATAATCCCTCCGTACTTGTACCTCTGTGAGAGTTTAATGCAGGACTTTAACTTGTAATGGAGTAGTTTTACATCACTGGTTTCTACTTTTACTTCAGTAAAATATCAGAATACTTCTTGATCTCCTCCTTCCTTCCCCCGTCTATTCGTTCTCTTCTAGTCGTTCTCTGATTACAGCTCTCGTTACTAGACACCAGCTGATGCACATCTGACACCAGATCAGTACACGATATGTCTACCTGCTCTCACACACTCACACAAGCTCGTGACAAAGGGAGGAGAGAAAAACAAATCCAACAGAAAGGACACATTACTTGCTCTGGCCGTCGCACACAGACAGCACACATACACAATGCATGGTTAGTGTTCGTGTTAGTGGTACGATCAACCCACAGCTGTGACAAACATCCACAGCTGATACCTGGAGATAAGCAATGGAAAAGTAATCAAAACCCAGGAGCATAAATGTGTGTGCAAACACACACACACACACACACACACAGGGAGCAACAGCATCTCAGTGGCATGATTTACTGGAATCATCAATATGAGAGGATCGGCCTGGTAATTAATCCGTCTCATGGTATTGGTTGTGTCTTGAGTTATTCATGCTGCCGCTGGTGTCGGTTTTATTAAATCATGAAGGAACTCACTGAAAGTCAAAGTTGATTTGGTTGATGAAGTTGTATTTTGTTGTTTAGAGTTTGACTTTAGCTAATTGTATTGATACTAACAGAAATGTTGTGGGGTTAATAGGTGGTGTATTCTGTGCTGATATGATTGATTGATGTATTTTACTGTAGTTAGGCTTAAATTTACTGACTAAAAGTTAAAAGATTGTGGTCTTTGAGGTGTCAAATATGTGGTAATGAGATTCACACGTGAGTAGCAATATGCAGGAAGTATATCCTGATTTTAAAAAAGGAACATGGATGTAAATGAGTTAATTGTTGCACAAAGACGGTAAGTACTTGAAACGTCTCCCAAACAAAGAGCCTCAGGTGAAAACACTAATTTGACTTCAATAAACGTGAGTGTAGGTTTTCACATACTGGTTTTGGTCTGAGCTCATGTGTTACTTTACACTTCAGATGTCACATTTGAAATTCAGATGTGGCGACCTCCATTACATAACACAGAATTTCGGTTTCACATGCAATAAATAAATACGCCTGCTCATGCAGATGCTGTTCACAAGTGAACATGTGACTTTTTTTATGCACAGTTTCAAAATCAGACTTTTCTGGAGGAGTTTAAGAACATGATCAGGGTTTGTTTGCATTAGTCCACTATCCGCTTATGTTATTTCTGCTTCCTTTATTTTCCTATGTAAAATATGTCATTGAAATATAAAAGACAGTTATGGCAAGCCTTTGTAGATCTGCTTCTTCGTGGCTCGTCAGTGTCACTGGCAGCAAAACATATTGTAGCAGGATGGGAGCAAATGTCATTTATCTCTTACATGAGGATAATATTATTACGAGGATCAGACACTCATATCTGCATTTATGCCACAATTAGAGTTTTTAAGACCAAACGGTTTCTACTTTAGGACCTTTTCTGGGTAAAGTTTTCATTTACAGTGGGCATTACTCTTAAGCTGCGCATCATTCAGTGATGGCTCAATCCGCCAAGAGATTCTGCTATAAATAGAGCTTGTATTAATACAGTCTCAAGTCTTCACTGCAGCAGCTGTCAGATAAAACGCAGCCGTTAGAACTCACTGCCCTAAAGAGGCCTCTAGCGGTGGCTGCTGCTGCTGCAACAGCATATCAATCAAACTACAAGCTACACCCATCTGGTTAGAGCTCTTCTCAGGACTGAGTGACTGTGCTTGATTGACATCTTTTATGTTTTAACAAACTCCAATAAGTCAAGATAAGTGAAAAAACCTGTGTGAGAGTGCAGGGCATTTATTTGCAGCAATACAAATACAAATAGATGCGTTCATTGTATAATTGATTGTTGACGAAAACACTGAATTTCAAGAGTCATGAAACTAGACAAAACTTCTCCACAAAGAATCACACAAATCACCACTTTAAATCAAGTGTTTTCCAGAGAGGTGTTCATAAATTGGAAATAAGTCATTCAGCATGAAGAAAGCATAAAAAAGACTAACAAAATGTTAGTCGACTATCTGACGAAGCCCTACTTGTCTTACTTTTTCTATACCTACTGGGCACATTTGTACAACTATTTAGTTCAAGATTGAGTTACAATTTTGGAGAAAGAATATTCAAAGCCAGAATTTGATATCTAATGGGTGAAGCACACACACACACACACACACACTCTCACACACACACACACACACACACACATAAAGCTGTGTTCTCCATATGGATGTAGTAAGCAGCATGTCAAATCTCTTTTTGGAGAGATTTGTTGCTAGATGCTTATACGAGCTCAGCTGACCACTTAGCATTGCACTCAACTTGTGATTTTAATGCTGTCATCATTTTTAGAGAGCTCAAAGCACCTCAGACTTTGACTTGTGACTCCCCGCACGGTGAAACAGATACTGTAGCTCTCATAAGCCGTCACAGCTCACGTGTAGTTTTTCATTAGTTTAAAAGTTTAGCAAGTTACGAGCTGAGAAACTTTTCTAATTCTTCATGGAAAACACTTGAGAGTCACAGATCAGAGGGGAACTTGTCTTTTCAGGAATTATGGAGCTAGGATTTGTTTTTTTGACAGCAAATAAACAGGAAATCCTGGTTTTGATATTTTCACTAGAAGGCTAAAGCTGCGGCAAGTACTTTATTTCAATAAATTAAGAAGATTCAGTTTCGGTTCAGATTTTACTAACACCCAAATATACTCCATCTCGTCGCCCTATCTCTTTTTTTCTTTTCATCACCCCATCTTACTCTTTAATCTCAAATGGAATGATTAATCTCCCTCTGTTGACTTCCTCTTAACTCTCCCTCTAAAACTCCTCATACTGTAGATGAATTCATTTGAATGCTGGTGCAACATGTGAGGCGTGAGAGAGGGAGGAGGGAGAACTGGAAAAGGAAATAGAGCGAGAGGGCGATTAAAAGCAGTGGTCAGTGTGAAGAGAAAGAGACAGCGATGCTGCTGCTGCTGCTGCGAAGAGACACATGAGTGAGCTGCTTCCAGTGGGGAGCTCGGTTTGGTCGGGTTGTTTTGTTTGTTGACATCGTTTTGACTTTGGATCATATAAAGATGGGTGGAGTCCTTCAGCATCGCTCATGTATGGATTAGAGCTGTTTATTGCCTCTTTTGTTTTTATGGCTGTGGTATCTGATGTGACAACCAGCCTGGAACACAAGTTTCTACCAAAGTCAGAGGTTGAACCGGAGCTCTGATAAGTCCAAAGAGACGGGAGCAGAGTAAGAAAACAGAAGAAAACAGTCAAATAGGATCATAAAGAAGAAGAGAGAGAGAGAGAGAGAGAGAGAGAGAGAGAGAGAGAGAGAGAAAGTTTGGTTGGCTGTTGACCAGGGAGGGTTGGGTAATGGGCAACTGCACCAAACCGAAAGACAAAATGAAAAAGGTAAGAGCACTTTGTCTCCTGCACTTGCTAATTGATGCTTTTTTTGTATCTGTGTAAATTTATAAAAGTTATGTGATTGATTAAACACTTACTAGCTTCTGAAACTTTCTTCACAACTTCCTTTAATTATTTAATCCGTGGATAATAGTTTTAATAATTGTAAAGCACTTTTTAAAAGGAGGATTGCAGCACTGGTTGTTTGAAACTGCCCAATACAAAATGTTTCCCTTGATGGTAGTAACATTAATACTCACTACACTATTCATAATTAGTATTACGTACACACTGTAGCAGAGTTATACTGCTGACACAAGATGTGAGTAATGAGACCCAACAGTTAGCTCAGTAAGTGTCAGCAGCATTGATACATCAAGAGAATGTCGAGATCAAGACGGTTTTTCACAGAAAAGATATTAACTGATGAGAGTGGATTGCCCTGAAATAATAAGAAGCTTATGTAATCAAGGCTAACTAAGCGTGACTAGAAAACAGTGGGTCTTAACCTTGTTCCTTGAAATGTATGATTTTGTTTTATGTGTGAAGAACTCGTTCATGCAGACAGTGTATGACTGAGTGGTGGAATAACAGCCTGGTCTGCCTCTAAAGGGGGTAATGGATGGGCCCCTCAGGGGTAGGCTGAGGGCAGTGGGCCGCGAGGAAGACGAGGATCAGGACGACGTGGAGGAAAACGCGTTCAACGATCCCTTCTGTACGCTGGTCAAGAACTGCAACATGCTGCACAACATCGTGGGCCCGGCCTGCATCTTCCTTAAACAGGGCTTTACAAAGAAACTCGTATGTAGCAGAACACAAAATGTGTGCACACTGTGGTCCTCACACAACCCCCGGTGCAACTGTTTCCACTCGTGTCGATTCATCTTCATCCCTTCATCGTGGCTGAACACCCCTGCTCTCCACCACACCAGCTGTGTGTGTCATCCCATCACTGGTCTGGGTCAGACGATCAAATCTGCACCGCACGCACTCAGAGGGGTCAATCGTTCATTCAATTCCATGGAAATATATTGACCGACTTGAGAGCTTCCTCTAACATGTGATGAGGCACAGAATGATGGTGAGGTCCAGGCTGAATTTCCGACCAGGCAAAGGGGGCGACTGCTCCAGAAAAGGCCCCTGAATGCTCCATGGTCTGCAAATAGCTTGTTGTAATTTGTGAATAATGCACCACTGAAGCGCAACGTAAACTGAAATGAGAAGGATCATAAAGTGGCTCTTGTCCTCTCTTGTCGAGGGGCTCTGTGTCAACATCTAGTTTCCATCTATACCTTTACCATTTCTTTTGAAATGAGGCATGGGCACGGCGCAGTTTCCTAAATGAATACATGTTGAATTGAATTAGCACAAACCAACTGATTACAGCAAACTTCGGCAAGTACCCGAGTACCTGTCTGAGAGAAGTGGGGCGTCAACTATGGACCCACAGTTAAGGCCCCCAGAGAATTTCTGGGCTAACTACACAATACATAAACTAAACTGACCCCAAATTTGGTGCTAATGCTAACGTTAGCTGTTGTGGCTATCCCCGTTCCGTGACCAACAGGTAACATTAGCAAGTGCTTATCAGCTACATTACCATCTCAATCCATATATTGTCCTTTATTCGGTTGTTGAGGTAGTCGTCACCGCGTTTCTCGTACAATATTGGGTGTTGAGAAACCAAATCAATATGACATTTCCTCATTTTGGCAGCAGGTTACCTGGAGCTATTCCTGGATGTATGACATCACTTGGAAAAAAAGGATTTCATTGGTCAAACATTTTTCCCCAGGCGTATATTTTGCTGGAATTGGAAGTCGGTTTTAATACATTTTTGGTGCGATTTGTTTTGTAAGAAAAGCCGTAGCTTTTAAAGTAGGAAAGCAACACCTTGAGCATGACAGGATTTTTCCGATCTTTTCTGTTTGTACCAATATGAAACTCTTTCTCAGTGTTTCCCAAGGAGGATGGCTTTGTTGTGTGAGGCTTGAGGGCAACCAAAGAAATAAAATATGATGCCAGAGGATTTGTGCCATATTGTTTTCTCTCTAAAGCTCTTAGCCTAACATCCTCTACACTGAACCACAATTTCCATTGTTTGCTTTTTGTACAGCCGGGCTTGCGTGTAAGCTAGAGTGCGATGTACAAGACAGTATATGGATATACTACATGTGTACTTATGCCTTATGTCTGAACAATTAACTGACCAAAGTACCAACTAAACCTCCCAAATATCATAATCTCCAGATGTTTATTGCCTGGCAACCTCCCATAAATAATGTGGTCACCCCTTGTGATTGATGGTATATGAATTGTCATATATATATATATATATATATATATATTAATGCAGTGTACAATTTAATCCATATATTTAGACTCTGCTTTTCATTTGGAGATGCACTGGCTTTGTCTATTTAATACAGCTTACTGAATAACTAAAGCACATAACACTGAATCACTTCCCTACATTTGCAAATTATGTTTTAGTATAAAAGCCTGACGATAACACACATCCATGGGCTCAGATTGGAAGCAGTGGACAGTTTATTACATTTCATACCATCCTGACCGCATAAAACCAAACTCCAATAATCATGTCTCTCATCTTCTGTTTGTGTATCCTTCCTCCCAGTTCAGTTGTTGTCTGAGTGTTTCTACAATCGTGTTGCTTAAAATCTGACTGTTTGTATCTCTACTATGCCAAACCAGCTCTCTAAATATTCTCATCATGAGCAGCATGAAGGGAGAAGCTAATGTGCGTCTCTGCTTTCTTTCAATAGGACAGAGAGCTGAGACCAGAGGAGCTTGACGGTGAGGTGATTTCCTCTGTGTTTCTGCTCTACAGCGTGTTAATATGACAGCTGACTGACTAGTAACAACATGTTTGTTTCTGTAAATCAGAGCTCCGCGAGGCATTTGTGGAGTTTGATAGGAACAAAAAAGGCTACATCAGTCACAAAGACCTGGGGGAGTGTATGAGGACCATGGGATACATGCCGACAGAGATGGAGCTCATCGAACTGAGCCAGCAGATCTGTGAGTGGAACAACGGCCTGAAACATCTGGGAGAACAGAGTAGAGTGGAGTAAAACAGAACAGAATAGACATAGCCCACTCGGATTCCATGTCCCATGCCTCCCCATGGATGCACAAAAAAAAAAAAATTCTACCATAGGTGGGAGTTGAAGATCTCATGGACAGGAATCTCAACTATAAGCGTTCCTAGTTCCCCCTCACTAAACATGCTTGAATACGGTGTTTGTTATGGCCAATCCATGACTAGCACAGAAATCCATCAACAAAGCACCTCTTTGGACAACCGGAAAGGTTGGAAGGAGATATACAATTTTAAAATGTTACTATTCTACATAAAAACCCGTGGAGTGAAACATTTGTGGAATAAGCTAGCACACCATTCACTAGCGTTAGCACTTCTATGCTATACAAGTGGTAACGGTTAATAAAGACCTGGACGGCTTTACAGGAACAATTTTGTTCCTTAATTTCATTGTCTCTCGATTGCCAGGTGATTTGACACCTTGGATAAATCTTTGAAATGCATTTTAAAAGATCCTTCTGTTTTTCCAAAAGTCCTAAAATATGAATCCAGGGAGTGCAGTTAGTGACAGTGTGGGCTCCAAGGAAACTGACAGCTTGACAGCGTAGCTGGGGCTTAGCAGTTGATTAACAATAGTTTACCATGCTTTTTAATGAGAGTTGATTAGATTAGAAAGTAGGGCCCTTTTTCATGTAACCCGTTTGTTTCAGGTGGAGGTAAAGTTGACTTTGAGGACTTTGTGGAGCTGATGGGACCCAAGATGCTGGCAGAGACAGCTGACATGATTGGAGTCAAAGAACTACGGGATGCATTCAAAGAGGTCAGGAGATAAATTGTTAATTAAAGCCGTTATTTGTCACTGCAAACATTTTGACTCATCATACACAGGTGTAACTAATAACATCACTAATTGCTCAAAATAATTATAGGACAACAGTTGGGACCGAAATTACTTTCCCAAAACATTGAGTCACACATGTTTTGTGCTTGATTAAAGAAACTAAAGTTATCAAATGCCAGCAAATCTATCAAGATTCCAGCTAAGTGAGAGTTATTCAGACAGCAAAACAAAATGTAACATGTTCAGATTTTTAAAAAGGGAAGAAAAGTTTACCTTTCAATTTTATTTTGTACAACAGAAACTGATGAAAAGAAATGCAAATTTCTGTTCTTGATAATGTAATTTACATAAATGGTTGTTTGTATTGCAGCTTCCAATGTTGTCACTGGTTGACAAACCACTTCTGTACATTTTTTCAGCTACTTGAGGGGGTCGAGGGGGCACAATGTGAAGGATTTGATAAAATCCTACTTTGATGCCTTTCGGTGGGGGTATAAAGAATGAGACTGGGGGGATGGCAATGCAACTATAGTGAATATCCCAAAATGTCCCAGTGTTTTGGGTTTGATACTATTAAAACAAAATGTGATTAAATTTCGATGTGATTCTTCGTGTCTCTCTCACTGTGTCCAGTTTGACTCTAATGGTGACGGTCAGATCAGTCTAACTGAGCTCCGTGAAGCCATGAAGAAGCTGATGGGAGAACAAGTGACCAATAGAGAGATCAACGAGATCCTCCGAGATGTCGACCTCAACGGAGACGGTCTGGTGGACTTTGAGGGTAAAATAAATTATATTTGCATATTGGGATCTGAATGTGAATGTAGGCAACTATACATTCATCCTCATCATCTCACTCCATTGTTTTGTCTTTTCAGAGTTTGTGCGAATGATGTCCCGCTGACCATCATGTCGGATTGAGATGGACAGACAGACATTATGCATCTTCTGGATTAGAGAACAAACACATTGCAGTGAACACCTTTCATCTGCTCGTAAGAGCACACGTCTGAAATTGTATTTTTGTATCAAATAAAGAAAAAAGGAGAAAAAATGCTTTGAATAGACAAATACGCAACGATAAAGCTCTTCAACAGCAGTAAAACATATCAAAAGCTGCTGCATAGACAACATTTATGACTTTGTGTTTTTAGATGTATTTTTATATATCATTCTTTGAACTTTGAGTGTAAAATCTTGTTTGTAGAACTGTAAAAATCTTTTTTTTTAATTAAAAGAAATGTACAAAAATTGGATGGATGGACAAATGATTACGTCTATAACATCGACTGTGAAATAGTTTGTTGAATCGTGCAAGAGAGAGGCGTCGTAGCTGAACGTGCACCGTTTGTGCTGAGGTAAAATAAAAGTCAGAAAGCATGCAAAAATGTCATATTTTCACAATATACAAAACTGAAGGTTTTATAATTTCAGTTATATGTCATTGGAATGTTTATGTCTGACTCACTGTCTGACTGACTGACTGTCGGACTCACGATGGACGGTTAAAAAGGAGGATCAAAATGTATGCAGCAGAATCAGAATAAGTTCTTGAGCTCACCTGTCAGAACGTCTCTCTGTGTGTCTCGTGCACCGTGAAGCCCTCCTCCATCTGCCCCAGGTTCAATTTATCGGCTCTTTTATTCTTAGTGCATAATATAAATAGTCCTTTCCGCCTCTCTGTCCTGCTGCGCTCCTCAAACATTTTTAAGATGAATACGGCTCTGCAGGGAAAGCTTGCTATGCAAAAGTCACCATTTTAAGCATCTCGTGGTTAACTACACCCAGCATGCCATGCACCTGCTCGTCAGCACGGGGGTGTGTTTGAATCGGGTATTTTGGCTGCTTGCCAAGGGGGGGCAGTAAATTAAGGTCGATTCTTTTTACCTGAGCCAATTAAGGTAGGCCTACAATATTGCTGAGTTTGAATCCCAAAATGACGCAATTATTTATCATATTACATGTATTAACTATTTATTATGCTAAACTGCTATTTTACTGTACTATGCCACTTGATTAAGGAGTGTCTCTTTTTTTAATTTGAAAGTAGAAATGAGGCTGAATATCAGCAGATATGGAGATAATATGTCCTGTTGTTATTTTACAAAGCCTGTTACACAGCAGGCTCCACAACAATATGTCAGCAGCACCCGTCTGAAACGGCCCTGTTACATAACTTTCACTCTTTTTCTAAACACTGCACTTTTTTTTCTTCTTACAAATATTGTGTGATTTTAGTATTATCTTTTGTAGCTGACTATGCAAAGCTTTCCAAACACCAGTCAGCATGAACATACTATTGTAACATACTGTTGTACAATATTTCCTGAAAGTATCTGAAGAGAAGTGATCAGATTTGTTAATGTTTTGTTCAAAAACATTTTCAGTCAGGGGACTTTTCAGTAATAAGAAACAACATCATCATCTTTGAAATCAAGATTTTCCTTTTTATTGAAAACTTGGCCAGGATTCTGTACAGCAGAGAGGGTGTGCAATGCACAAGGGCAAGAAGACGAGGGGCAGGGGGCTCTAGGGACTCAGTTTCCCATGATGCATCATACCCTGAGCCGAGAATCAAATGTGTAAAACAGCAAGAGGTGCCGTGTTCCCTCTTTGGTGTCTCAGAGGACCGTGGAGAGGACTGAAGTGAGGGACTAAAAAAAGGGAGAAAAGGGGGGAAAGCAAAGCTCAGCCCATAGGGGAGAAAGAGAAAAGATGAGACAGAGAGGAATGGAGGGTGGTCCAGCTGGTGTTTCCACTGAGGTGATGTCTCCAATCAGGGACAGATCTAGATCCTCACCCTTCCCCTCACTGCGTTAGATCATAGACCGTTTAAGGTACTGAGGTAAGGCCTCAGACATCTCTCCCCCTTTCCCTCTTCCTCCGCCCCTCTCCCTCACTTCCGCTCTGTCTCTTTCTCTCCTTCCCTAAGCCTCACTTGCTGGCCATGGTGTAGCAGCCCTGTTGGTGCCACTGCATGTCACGGATACGCCTCACGGACTGGAACTGAGGATGGCGGGCGCCAAACTCGTTGAAGTGCCTGAAGTCGCCCTTCTCCAGCAGGTACTGGCTTCCACGGTATCCAGGGAACTGGTATCCCACCCAGCTGGAGAAAAGAAATCAAGGAAACATGTCGGTACAGGATTTGCTTTTTGTCGATTTTTGATGTCTTTCAGCTCCATCAGTGACACCTGCAAACACTGCACACTCACGTTCCACAGCTGACAATGATGCTGCCCACTCTGTCGGTGAAGCCGTAGGAGAACAGGCTGGGAACGTCGTCATCCATGATCTCCATCTTGCGGCCCTTGAACTCTCCAACCTCATACAGGCAGATCTTGTGCTTCTCGGGGTCCTGGAGGAGAGAAAACCAGGGAGAAACACCAGTTTAGCAGGCAGTCAAAAAGCAAAAGAGGAAGGGAAACTTGAGAGTATGTCTTTTCTTTTTCTCTTCTTACCATTTTGACGGGCCTGAAGGACAGCAGGTAGTCGTTCTTCTGGCAGTTGCTCCAGGAGTCCCAGCGAGGATACTCTCCCTTCTCCAGGATGTACATCTCACCGCAGAAGTTCATCTGCTCGAAGCCCACGAAGCTGCAGATGAGACAGTATTATGAAGTGCCCATGCAAAGATGAGTGTTTTCAATTTATAGATATATATATTTTGAGACTTACGGTCCACACTCAACACGCAGGGAGCGCACGCGGTCCATGCCCATCTCACACACATTCATGCACTCGTTGCTGATCTCGATCATGCGACCCTGGAAGTTCTCCTGGTCGAACACGCACATCTGGAGGGGACAGATGCACACAGATGAGTCAGTACAACCACAGTGAAGGTCTGTGATATGATAAACTGAATACATCTCAATATCTCATATGAGAGGCACCCACCTTGTAGGCCATCATTCCCATCTCAGACTTCTTGCCCTGAGCAGCCTTCCCATCGGTCTGGGAAGAAGTCTTGGATTTATCTCCACTGGACATGATTGCTGTGTGGAAAGAGAGGTAAAACAAACAGAAAAAACAGTGAGAAAGGATACGTTGTTGAAACAAATCTATCCTGTTTTCACTCTGGAACAGTATCAAGATAGAGGAAAGAGTAGAAATGCAAAAAATCTGACAGACACAGAATAACCTGTATATTTTAGTCTAATGCCTATTTGTCTACACACACATGTAGGTATACAGTGTGTGTGAGTGTACCTTACCTGTCTGTGTGTATGATGCCTAGGACAAGCCTCACTCTAAGTGTGTGCGGCTCAAAGGGCGCCCTCCCCTTTTATACGCTGGCGCTCATAGGAGAGGGATTATGGGGAGAGAAACAAACCTGCTGAGGTCAGAGACACGAGACAAAAGAAACCCCACATCATCAGAGAGGGACGGACAGGGAGGAGGGGCGGAGGCAGAGGACTGACAGAAGCATGGAGACCAGACTGAGGACCAGTTACTAACTGAACTAATGAAACACAAGTTGATGTTTCTGCCATCAACTCTTACAGGTAAATGATGTACCCTAAATCAGAATAGTTTAGATTTTTATTTCAGTTTCTTTATTCTCCTTTCAACATACCAATCCACTTATTCAAAGCATAAACCAGTCTATTTTGACAGGCTTGATTTCATGCATTATTTGATTGATTCATATAAGGTTGCAACCAATTAATTCAATATAAATGTTCTAGGCTACATGTTTCCATATAAAGTCAGTGAGTATAACATTCATGTGAGATACATAAATCAGAATGAAATGAAAGGAAACTTTTCATCTGGAAGACCCATGAGGCATAAGAGCCACGTTTTATAGGAGAGGATGTTTGCAGCCAAACATAATCTGAGGTGATGTTTGATTGATAAATGAGGATGTGACTGCAGGGGAACCTTCATCACAACTGTTGCATTCAGTGCACACACATATAAAGTGAGTTCCTTTGGAAACCATTGATTTAGCTAAAACACACATCTGTGTGCACGCAAGTGTACCTGCACCCTTGAAGGGTCCTTTGGCTAGAATGAGATGTAGTTGTGTGAACATTACTAAAATTACACTCATAGTTCTCTAACCTTTCAATACACGTATTCAGATCCACCCAATTATCTTTTCCTCTGTCCCCCCAGCGGTGCCCCTCTGCTCCGCCGTTAATCCCCACATTCTCCACCCCGATCCCGGCCCTTTGTGCCTGGGCACGCGCTGGACTGCTGACCGGGATCCGAACATACCGGAGCGCCTTTGTTTCGCAGCACCAGCAGGACTATGGGATCTGCTGAGCTGGCCCCCGCAGCGGGACAACAGCATCCAACGGCAACGCAGCCAATCCGGGTGCGCGCCTCGCTGACGCTGTGCCATCATGATGGGCGGTGGGCATAGGTCGAGTCAGAGCCATGGACGCGCACCGGGAATGCGCGCCCCTCGACCGCCGGTATAAAACTGAAGCGCCAGGTTCCGTCAAAGCTTTACGCGAGGCAGGCCGTAGGCGCGTACCACTTTTCGAGCTCTTCCAATAAAGTACCAATCTAGGTAAGGACTCATCTCTGCTCTCAACACAGCTCAGGGTCAGACAGACAGGTGCACACCAGGTGCTTCACACTGAAAACCAAAAGCACTTTCTGAAACACCCGCACAACATCTTTATTGTCATCGGAATTTCATACTTCTGATTTTTAAAAATTCTTTGAAAAAGTAGATTACTGTTTTTGGCCTCCAGATGTTTTGTGAGTTGTAGCTGCATTGCCTGAACGTTTCAAAGGGATTTGTGGTGGAAATTGAACACCACCATGTTTTTACACTAAGAAAAACATGCCAACATCTATTTACATTGTTTATGCTCTAAATTAGGTTTCTTCAACAGCTCCCCCCCCCCCCCCCATATCTTCTTGCCTTCTGTTGGGCCCTTTGGGTGACTTCCTTTTTCTTTGTCCTCATTTGAACATCAGGAGTAAAGATGTACAGAACTACAAGGTCCCCAATGATGCAGCCGCTGGTCAACTCAGGAATGGGCATGGCTCCTTTCTTCAAGGTAAACACACACTCATTTCAGCACAAATCGTAGGATTCTGCTCAATACTGAAATGTAAAAGGAGGATAAACTATTTACAAACTTGTTGCCAACTGCAATCCTTCCCCTGCTCCTCCCTCAGGTGACCGTGTTCGAGCAGGAGCATTTCCAGGGCAAGTGCCTGGAGTTCACCTCTGAGTGTTGCAACATTCAGGATTGTGGACTGGACAACATCCGCTCCATCAGGGTGGAGAGCGGAGCGTAAGTGTCTTAAACTTTTCTTCTGGTGAAAACAAGACAAAAATGAGTCTCTGACTGGTAATGATATACAGCGATGGGGTGAATCAAGGAGAACAATTATCCCCGCTGTTTCCCCTCGATACATTTATCCCAAACAAGAAGAGGAGATAAAGAGGATTCATGTGGGAAGCTTTAGGCACTGAGACAATTAAATAGTTGACTGTGCATGTCTTTATACTGTTGCTCTTAAGCCTGGTAGAAAATGAGATTTGATCATTTTCCAAAACCCATTTTGGAGACAAAATCATTTCTTTCAAGTGTTCGATCACAGAAATAAACATCATGCAGTAAAGTGATGTACTCTCTGTCTCTCTGAAAAGCTGGGTGGGCTTTGAGCACCATGACTTCCAGGGCCAGCAGTTCATCCTGGAGAGAGGCGAGTACCCCCACTGGGACGCTTACAGCGGCTCCCTCTCCTACCACGTGGAGCGCCTCATGTCTCTGCGCCCCATCTACTGCGCCGTGAGTACATCCCGTCTCTCTCAGTGTTCAGGAGGCAATCGACAAGAGTGTCCAAAATCAAACTGTTGCTTTTTTAACTCCCCGCAGTCCCACCAGAGCAGTCGCATGGTCATCTTTGAGAAGGAGAACTTCATGGGCCGCAGTGTGGAGGTCTGTGACGACTACCCTTCTCTGCAGGCCATGGGCTGGATGATGGCTGAAGTCGGCTCCATGCACGTGCAGTGCGGCGCGTAAGTTACTGTGAATGTGATTGCGTGAAAAAGCTCTGATAATAAGATGCATCCGGCACTTTCCAGGTGATTTAGGCTTGAATATAAATTTCATATCCGGTTCACTCTTAAAAATAGTCCCACTGACCTTCGTTTCCTTCCCCCGCAGCTTCGTGTGCTACCAGCACCCCGGCTACAGGGGCCAGCAGTACATCATGGAGTGTGAGAGACACAGCGGAGACTACCAGCACTGGAGGAACTGGGGGTCCCACTGTCAGACCCCCCAGATCCAGTCCATCAGGCGCATCCAGCACTGAGAGGGACACAGGCTGAGACTGAGACAGCAGCTCCCCTCGACCCCCCCCCCCCCCCCCCCATAACCCCTTCCTCTATTTCCTTCTTCCTCTCTTCAATCCTTTCCTTCCTCTCGACTTGAGCCGCAACAACACCACTACTGATTCACAGCCGCTGCCAGAGTGCGATAAGAGACAATATCGCACTGTTAAAGCACAGGGAAGCATACGCTCCACTCACACATACGCCGACATAACCCGACACTCACACACACAGTGTCTTTTTATTTGGTTTAGAGGTTTCCACACACTCGCACACAAACACACACCTGCGCTGTACTCCTCACCTGAGCTGAGCGATTCCTCAGCGAGCTGGAACCAAACAAGAGGGGAGATGAAGCTCCAACATGGCGCCCAGGAGAACCTCTGCGCTGTGGTGCAGCTCAGATGTGTGAGGATGTTGTGTGTAGGAGGTTGATCCACAGGTTGAAAACTAATAAACTCATTTTCACTTCATGCACTCTGGTTTTATTATGACGAATAAAGTGGGCTTCAAATCACAGAGAGCAGCGGTTGTGCTTGCGATGGGTTTAATTGGGAAAGTTTTAACAGTGGGGGAAAAGTATCAAAATGTTTAAAGACATTTCTGCAGGTGTAATTTGATAAGTTTCTATCGATGTTTTTGACATTTTGTCCAATAATGAATCCCAGTCAAACAAACTTCTTACAGCCGCCTTTCAACTTCTTAAGTGGTTAAGTGATCCTAATGTGTTAAAGCCTGAAAATGTAGCCACTTTATTATCTGTATTTAAAACTGATTTAATGTGCTAAATTAGGCAGGCGACATATTGTAAAGGAAGGTAGGACTAATGGGGGGGGGGGGGGGGGGCAGGATAAGGGAGAAAAAAGGTTATTTTACTTTCAGTTATTCATCTCAAAGACATACATTATGTTCACTGACACGGTGGCTGAATGAAGTGCAACTTCAGTAGAAACAGGCCGAACATGGAACATGAAGAAAATATCTTCTCCACTCTGACACAACATTTATCAACTACAATCATCTCCTGAACGCCTCCAGCAACCAGTCAAGCTGTCACAGACGTTGTCACTTCATCATTTTATCCTCGTAGACATTTGTGTGAAGTTGTCATAATTTGCATATGAAGTCTTAAGTTATGGCTAAAAACATGTTTTGTGAGGTCACAGTGACCTTTGACCACCAAATTCTAATCAGTTTGTGAGTCCAACGTTTCCCTTCATGCTTTCATGGTATCACGTTAGAATGGAGCAAACATACGGAGGAACAACCACAAAACACAACGCCTCGGACCTCGGTTATCACCGCTTCATAAAACTGACAAATACGCCGACGATGTGTATTTTAGTTGTAACGCTGACTGTGTGATCCCAGTATTATTGGATGTGTGTGTATTTGAAAGAACAGAGCTGCTGCAGGAAGTAGAGAGGATTTGTTTATTGAGGAAATCCCTGGACTCAAACGTGCCGTGAGGAACATTAACAAACATAACCTGAGAGTAAAACATTTACAAACTGTGGCTGAACAGAGGACGACATTATTAATCATATTTACAACTAAAACAGTCAAAGTTACAACTAACGGTGCATGAACATGATTTTTCGTTTTCTTCTTTCTAAGCTGTTCGGTTGGTTTTGTTTTCAACACTTGACAGTTAAAACAAACTTTGCTGAAAATATCTGCTCAACAATAGTTAGTGACAACTTTTTACATAAAATCAACAGCTAAATATCTTTAAAGTACAAAGAAATGAACGATCCCCGTCACGTCGGACAGTTTTCCAATGATCGTCTGTGAACTGAGGAGCTGAAACTCAAACGCTGCATATACACCAGTGATGTTCGCTTGTTGCTGATGAAAGCTTCTTTCTGCATTATGATGCACGTCTTATCAATCTAAACAAACAGCTAACATGTTGCTCACACCTCTTCTCTTCCTGAACTTTGGTGGAATCATGTGATTGTCAGTGTTTGAACACAATAAAAACATTTACGCTGATATCACATTGTCTTTAACTCACAGCTACATGAACGTTTCCTGAAAAAATAACATGAACTGAAGACGACGAGTAGGAAATGTCACAGGTGCTGATGTAAGTTCACAAGCTCACCTTTACTCACCGTAGCGAAGACCGCAGATAAAGCGTAGTCTGTCTTTTCTCCGACAACATCAATGTCCCCGTCTCCGTCCTCCTCTTCACCTTCTGAAGACTCAGTCCAGCTGATGATCACCGGCTCGGGGGCGGGACTGGAGCCGCCGATCACATCAACGTCCTCGTCTTTGTCCTCCTCTTCACCTTCTGAAGACTCAGTCCAGCTGGGGATCACCGGCTCGGGGGCGGGCCTGGAGCCGCCGATCACATTAACGTCCTCGTCTTTGTCCTCTTCCCAGCTTCCTGTCGACCGCAGATGGAAGTCTTTTGCCGAGAGTGAAGACGGTGAAACAGAAGTCACAAAATCTGACAGAGTCGACGCTCTGCTGCTCTGGCAGCGGTCCCCTTCAGGGTCTCCGTCCACCTCGGTTACCTCCATCTCCTCAGCTCGTCTGAGTTCACTCCACATTGTTTTCTTTCCTCGGTCTTCTAATATTAAACGATCTCTTACACTGGTTAGTGTAAAGCAAATCCTCTTGACCACAGTGGATTCGTCACTTGTCACCTCCTCTGACTCGGCTCCCCTCTTCGTAGCTCCCTCTGCTTCTTCTTCCTGTCTCTCTTGATGTTTCTCTAGTTGTTCGTCTGAGCCCCGGGGCTCCACAGGCTGCGGCTGGATTGGTGGCGTTGAACTCTCAGCGTTAGATAAACTGAGAAGTTGCACTTCTTTACTGGGCTCGTCTCGACTGTAGTTTGGTCGGCCTTCTGAGGGACGACGTTTAATCCGAAGTGGCTCCTCAAGAAAGAGCGAACTGTCCTGTAAAACAAATGAACCTTACTAAAATACACAGACAACTACAAAAAGAGAACTCATGCTCGGTGGTGCTTTGAGCTAAAGGCTAACGCCATCATGCTAACATGCCACAATGACAATTCTAACATGCTGACGTGAAGCAGGTATACTGTTCACCATGTTCAGCATGGAACATAATTCATTTTACAGATATTTGGTCGCACATCTAAGTATTGGACAAAGTCAAGTTTTGACCTGAAGATGACGCTATTACAAGTTAAAGGATCACAAAAACACGGTGCCTCTTTCTTTAAAGAACAGATGTTTGGAAGACACGAATACTTAAATAGGGCCTTGGATCTTGTAAAAAAAAAAGTCAAAGCTCACCCTGACATGTGCGTCTGTGAGCCTACTCCTGATTGGGTACTTCTTTGTGCTCAGGGAGTCCCGTGGGTGTTTCACTGATGATGAGCTGCTCTTTGCTTTTGCAGGACTCTGAAGAACACAAACACACAGAGAAACCATTTGATACGTCTTCATTCAGTGGCTGTTACAGTCCGAGGTATTAATAGCAGCCAGACTTTGCTGGACAGCAGACATCATCAGAAGCTTTAGTGGAGACTCGTTAGAAAGGTTTGTCACCTGGACTTCCACACAGCTGTGTTTCTGCAGCGTAACTCTGGCTGGCAGCTGGTCACTCCTCTCCAGTTCCACCACAGGCCTCTGCTGCAGCTGCTCGTCTCTCTTTGCGTCACTCGATGACACCGGCTTCCTCCCCCTCACCCTCTTTTTCTCCAGTGAGAACAGATACTCATTTTTTCTTCCCCTCTTCCGTTGTTTGGCTGGTGCTTCCTCTGTGCTTTTGGGAGGAGCGGCGGGGAGAGCAGGAGTCTTGCAGGGCTGTGAACCTCTCGCCGTTTTTTCCGCTTCATCCCTCTGATGCAGTTCCGTTATTTGAGAGTGTCCGTTCGTCTTGCTCTTTCTGTACTTGCTCAGGCCGGTGTAAGGCTGGCTCGCCTCTGAGCGGCTCTGACCACCCGTCTCCACCTCTTCCCTCGCAGTGCAGCTGTCAACATCCTGCTCAAAGGACTGGAGGAAGTGGTCCAGCATCTCATTCAGCTCTCCCTCGCATTGCTGCTGCAGAGCGGGCGGCTCACGGTGGGAGCTGACATCTCCTCTTGCTTTAGCAACAACCTGCGTGGACCCGTGAAAAGCTGGACTTGCTTCCAGGAGGCCACTGGAGCGGTCACGGTGTTTGTTTTGGACTAACGTATCGCCACAGGAGGCGTAACTGCTGCTCCCTGTTGGAAGAGGAGGCTGAGAATGTGGAGCACTGTTGTTGTTGTTCGGTAGAATGTCGAGGCCCATCATCACTTCCTCCAGTAGACGATCAAAGTGTTCGGGCTGTTCCTCGTGAGGTGGAGGAGCAGGAGGAGGGAGGGAGGTGCTGAGGACGAAGGGCGATGCTGGAGGCACGTAGGAGGCTGCAGGTGACGGAGAAGGCTGGAGGGAGGGGCTGAGGGCAGATAAGGTCTGGACGTTGTAGAATCGTATGTGAGGGGAAGGAAAGGAAACGGGTGCTGTAGGGTTGGCCCTCGCCCTGCCAACAGGAAGACCGTCCTGTAACTGTGGAGAAAAAAGTATCAATTACTTAAATGATTTATTAAATCAAATCACTGAGCAGAGTTATTGTCCTCAGTGATTGGTCAGAGCCCTGTTCATCTTAATGAACCAATCAGAGAGCTGGACTCAGTATCTCTTCTAACCAATGGATCGGTTGCAGAGGCACCAACTTCTCAAAGCGTTCACTTGATAGATCAGACATGGAGTGTCCTGATGAACAAGTATTATAACCGTCATATTTAAATATGAAATATTGATATAATGTTAATAATACACATATGATAATATTGTGGAATTTTCCCAGCGACTCTAAAACCACAAATACACAACTGCCATGTTGTTTACCTTTAAGTACAACAACGTGGTGGAGGGCAAAACCAAGTTTCTATTATGATTACTTTTTTATCAATAATACCATCACAGATGTTCTTACTATCCCAAACCTGGATTATACCTCCACTGTTGTTTCTAAATAAAAATGCTCTTAAAGTGTTTGATTGAGACTGGTGAGTCTATAGATTGGACTTTATTTTCATATTTAGTTTATGTAGTTTAGTGTCATGTTTGGATGTTTAGTCAACCCTCTCACCTGGTTAGACTGCTGCGTGTTAGCTCGTCCTCCCACACTGTAGGGCAGCGCGTCTCCACTCGGGCTGAACTCCCACACTTTGCCTCGCCCTCTTCTCCTCTGACTGCTCTTCATGGATCTCAGAAGCTCTCTGGTCTTCAGGTGCAGCTTCCTGCCTACGGCTCCTCCCCCTTGACCCGCTCTGGACGGCCCCCACCTCTGCAGGAACAACTTCTGCAGCCTGCTCACCCCCACCTCCTGAACATCCACCGTCTGCGTCAACCCTCCTCTCCCTCTCCCTCCCGTTCTTGCTCGTGGTGTCCTGGCTCTTTTCTCACCCGTCCCAGCTCTCCTGGCTCCTCCCACTCCTACACCCTGCCTCGCTCGCCCCCTACCGAAACCCTCCCCCTTATCCGGGTTCAGGAAGTAGCTGATGTATCCTGGGATGTTGCCTTGAAACCGCTCTAACCGCTCGTCCCCCCATTCTTCAACTGCTGTGACATCCCTGACAGGACCTGTGGTCACACAGCTGGAGAAAGGAAGCAGGGGTGGGGGGGCGAAGTTGTGTCCAGCTGCTGTGGATCCTTGCATGGAGACCGTGAGAGCAGATGAAGGTTGGTGTATTTGGTTTTCATCTAGTGGGTAGACGAAGGATATGGGGATGTAGGGGATTTGAGGGGGAGCAAGATGGGCGTCGGTCTCTCCTAAACCCTGGAGAGCGGTCATGTCGATGGTCTCAAAGGAGGCTGCTGGGTGAGGAGGAGGACCTGAATGTACTTGCAGCTGCTCTGTCTGAGTCCATGTGTCTTTCTTACCGTCTGACAGCGTCTCTCTCCACAGGAAGGGGCTCCCATCCGTCACTTCTCTCCTCCACCTCCTCGGGCTCCCTTCATTCTCCTCAGGCATCAGTGGCTCTGTCTGCACTCCTACCTCCGTGCGCCAGCTCACCTCCTCATTTCTGTCCTCGCCATCTCTTTTCGTGACCTCCACCAGCCCGTGGATGCCCAGCTTGGCTGCAGCGGTAATAGCCTCTTGCTTCTCCTTCTCCCCCTCCCCGGCCATCTCTCCACAGTACAGCAGTCCGACCATGTGGAGCAGGGTGCAGGCGCCGAGAGCCCGAAACTCCAACAGACGGCTCTGTCCCGCAGGGGGCGGCGGCGAGGAGGACAGAGCCGAGGAGATGTGGGGGCTGATGGCCGAGAGAATACAACTGTGTGCCGGCACTGATACACCTGGAGGAGGGGGAAGATGTCGGTAATGATGATGGCTTCCACAAGCACATGAAACAAGAACACGACAGTGTCAATAATGCTGATTAAGATGATGATGTTTGTGTGAGTGTGCTCATACCGTCTGTCTCGAGCAGAGTGTCACAGAACTGGCTGCACTGCTGCTGTCTCTGCAGCTCAGCGAGGAGCAGGGCTTCAAACCCCGGTTTCTGGTAGCACCACATCTCCCCATCAACTTCAGAGGAGCAGCACAGTGACGACGAATTAATGAAGACGGTGAAGAAAGTTTGCCTTGGTTGCAAATATGTCTTTCCACACGACTGTGACTGCTTGAATAAGAGATGTAACACGAGTTCATACACTTATTTATACTAGTACCCTTTTGTGAAACACATGTTGGACTTAAATCAAATAGTATTCAATACAAACATCAGTCCATCTGTATATGAAATAACAAAAGCTTCACACTCAGTACATTTCTAACTCTTGCTCTGTGTTGATCTGATGTTATGAGTAGGATCTTGTTTTGCTGTTGGAGTACTGTATACTTAAAGCACAAGTTACAGTGAGATGCATTAAACTAATCATAAATCATATCATAAATTAAGGTTGGGATTTTTATTTATATATATGAATAATGAACTTACTCGAGTTAGAACTGTAGCTATATTTTCATCCTAAATTCTTGTCTTGGATAGTATTACATTTTGCATATTTAATCAAACATTTAGTACACTGACATCAAAAACTCGTGCATTAAATAGAATTAAATAGAAGTTAATGCTAATCTGCACACCTGCAGGTTAGCATCACTGCTGACAGCTAGCAGCCTGCTAACTGTGCACAACACACCCGCCCGGAGTAGGGATGAGTAAACTAGTCACCTGTTAGTTAACATGCATTAACATTTAGATTATTGACTTTAACTAAACTTCCGAGAACAACCTGAGCAGTTTGAACTACTTTCTCTCGGCTGGCTGTAGCGGTGTTACACATAAACGCGGGCAGGTGACAAGACATCGGCTTCACTCACCGTCTCAAAGCTCCTTATAAATCCGTTCCTACGTCAAAGAAACAACATTGGGTTGTGTTAAAAGTGATGTGTATCAAAGTGGGATCAACAGACAGTATATTATTTTAGTTTTTAGTTGTTTTCTTCTGCCCGTTTTTGGGAGGAGGTCATCCACAGGTCAGCGTGGTCGTCAAGGGGCAGCGGTACACTGTCGTGTATCGCTCCGCCACCAGGGGGCGGGCCTGTCTCCGCACGGCCAACGGTCAGGTACCACAGTCAAAGAGTAAAGACACAACATTAAACACGAGATAGTTCACTTCTGCTACTTCCCTTTTCGCCTTCATTTAATCAAGTACTGTACTTACAATTTTGAGGTGATCTTTTCCAATTTATGCTACTTTACACTTCTTCTACACTCCAGTTTAGTGGCAAATATTGTACTTTTTACATCTCCACTACAATTACTTAAAATAATTGTAGTGAAGATTGTCACTAGTTACTTTACAAATGTATATTATTAATACAAAATACAAATCAACTAATGCATTGTGGCATATTATAAGTTAAAATGTAAAAATGTAATTAAAAGTATCCCCATCTTTACCTGCAGCAACATTAAAGTGATTTACACAATAATTGGGACATTTTGGATAATGATAATGGCTTTGACTTTTGCTACTTTAAGAAAAGTTAAAAAGCAATAAACACCATTGCTAAACTCTGTATACTCAGTATTAACCATGACTTGGTCTGGTGTGTCATACTGTGGCTAATGTTTTGGTATATATTTCAGTGTAACTGGGACTTCGGTGGTGTGTTGACTTATCTTGTGCTACACTATATTTAATATTTAACATTAACCCTCACTGTAGCTGCTGTTCAGCAAAAGTAAATTACTCTTTTCGTTTCTATGGTGGATTGTGGCGAAGCACTATAAATGGCACATTATACACTCTATACTGAGACACGGAGATATAATAAAACATTATAATGTGTTAATTGTCCACCTGTATGTTGTCTTGTACACAGCTACCAAGCTGCCCGTCAACCCCCGGCCTCTGTTTGAGTATTAGTGTAAACATATATGATAGTGTTACAGGCATCCTAACGCGTTATATAATGTGCCAGTCTACCTGTGAGAGATGACAAATGGTTTCTACATTATAGTACACCAAACCAATGATGTCTTTAAAGTAGCTACAGTAGTTTATATGCGACAAACAGTCCTGTGCAAAATGACCTCTGAAGTCCAGCTGAAGCTTATACGAGGTTTCACCAAATCAAGTTGGTAACTTCCAAAGTTAAAGTCTGTATAATACAACGTTCCCTCTGTTTGCTAGCTGAGCTATGGTGGAGCGATAGTCACAACAGCAGGAATTTTGTACAGAGAAGACTTTAACTTTACAAGATTCCCTTCATTTGTCCACCAGACTGCTAAAGCTCCAATTAGCTTCAGGAGAATAGTGTTTACTCACAGCCACTGCTCCAGACTGTACGTACCAGGCAGCCACACTTTCTAATTAAAACATTACTACAGAGACAAACTACATTAATAAATTGCAGCACGGTCAAATTGAAAAGGTCGTTACATGATCATGGCCCAGGTGAAAAACACAGGAGGACACTGATTGATTCAAGTTGCTCTTGATTTAAGAAGCACCTGATGCAGCCATGCTGATGGAAAATGTTCAACCAGTTTACGTTGGTGTTTTTCAACCCGTAACATAACTAGTCCTGGGTTAAAAAGGACAGGAAGGTTAACATATACAGCACCACACATACAACCAATAATAAATTACTCATAAAGAAAGTCAAAGTATCAGTCGGTGTGCTTTTAATAGCACTGAAACCTGGTGTAATCCCCGATGAGTCCTTCTTGCTCGTATCCAAAGTAAAAAGAAACATTTCCTCCAGTTCACATTGTCTCGTTGTCTCTGTGCAGTTCAGAGAGGACTTGCTCAAAGGACGAGGAGGGGACCGGACTGAAAAACGGGGAAGTGGTTGGAGAGTCCTTTTGGTTCGCAGCGGGCCTCGGCCAGCGCTCGTTGAACTTGACAAAGAAGTGCGGGTCCTTGAAGGGCCCCCCGAAGATGATGGCCTGCATCAGGTAGACGAGGACCACGACCATGAAGCTGATGAGGAAGAAGGGGATGAAGGGCCTGAGGTGGTCCCAGGCCACCAAGACTCCGTAGCTCAAGTCGCTGAACCCGTCCTGCTTGCCGGTGTGGGAGGTGTGGCGGGTGGACTCCGAGGCTGGAGTGTGATCGGGGGGCTCGTCTTCTGAGTTTGAAGAGGACGGACTAGGGACAGCGAGGGAATCCATGAGTCACAAGTACAGACTGAGCAGTTCCTTTGCTCTTAAACGGATCAGTTTGGACTCATTTTCCTCCACAAATCAGCTCCTGGGATGATAGCGAGGAAAGCTTTAGGCCTCACATAATCTCCCAGTGGCGTGGTTCCCCACTGACCCGGTGCTGTCCCGAAAGTGGACTCGCTGTGCTGAATTCCACCCAACAATAATTCCTCTCCGAGCATGTGTTATATTCCTTTGGTCTTTTCCAGTTTTCCCCCCCCCCCCCCCACCCCACACACAGATCTTGGGTGCTGGAGTCAAATGTTGCTGCTTCTATTTGAGCTTGAGAGAGAAATTGAGAGGAAAATGAAGAACAGCGGTGGAGCCTTAAATAGATATGACTCCAAATGACAGCACACGGGGAGGGAGGGAGGGAGGACCCGCTGCGTTTGGTGGGCTCAAATTTAAGGAAGGGTGCGTGCATGTGTGTGTTACAAACATTACACACATTCAGTGACTAGCACAGACACACACGCACACACTTGTCACTCAAATATATGATTGTAGCAGCTTAAGGGGTCAAAATAACATGTTTATTGCAGCTCTAATAATACGACACTGTGGCTGGTGCAGCTTTAGGATTCTTATTAACCTCCATACACTTTAGGCTTCATATACACTGGGGTCATGAGTCAAGGTAACCCCAATGTACCTCCAACTCTCCACTGTTTTATCTGGATTTTCCATATACAGTATATACACATATATACATACAGTATATACACATACATACATACAGTATATACATACATACAGTATATACACATATACATACATACATATATATATATACATTTTGCAACATGGTCTAAATGCTGTTTAAAGCCAGTCTCCACACTGTAAGGAGTAACGAGGAGAAACGTACTTTACAGAGCCGACCTTAAAGGATCTGTCCATATTTATTTTTTTCTTACAGCAATACTCACTCGCCCACATGTACATGTCAGGAGGTATTTGTCGCTGTATTGTTCTCTCGATACCAGGCGTGAAGAAATGCCTTCCTAAAGTGATTCAAATGTAAGTGTTCGGGTCCTATGATCCCTCTGCCGCAGCTCAATGAAACATCTGGGGAAAATAATCATCAGAACCATATTACTGTTTGTCAACTGGACCAGCCTCTAAAAATACTTCCTGTGAAAGATCATAATTGCACTTTCACATGAACTAATAAAACCATGAGGCATAATCCTCACGGTCTTGATCATCAGCTACAGCCCTGCATCATACACAGAACTGTAGTGTATCGTTCATCAGCATTCACATTTATCATTTAGAAAGCACTCGGTGAAGTTGTGTGACTTTGTAGGTCACAGGCTGACACATACACTTCATAAACCTGACGAATATCAAACTTTCACACTCCTGACCTGCACTTACAGCCCTCGTGATCCAGCAGCTGCTTCTCCATCAGCGCGAGATGAAATTTAGATGTGTTGCATACTGGAAGAGGCGTGACACTTTGCTCGCACAACCCTTGTGTGTTCCTTCGACATGTTTGGAGTCTGACAAACACACACACGCGCACGCACGGCAGCTATTCCTTGTCAGCATGTGTAACCGGAGACAACAGCAAAGCTGAGAACGTCAGTCTAACTATGCTGAGGCGTACGTCGTGTTTGAAAGTTAAGCGGCTTAATGCCGACATGAAGCTGACCACAGTTTTGGAGTCTAAGTTGAGGGATGAATGCGTTTGTAGAGAGTTTAAAAAAGGTCTGGTGGTGACAAATTACCTCAGAAAACGAGCCTAAAAAAATATCCAAAATGGAGCACATTGGTGTTACAGAGTGAATATCTGACATTGTGTCAAGTCTGTATGTTTGCTCTTTGCTTTAACAAGACAGGGGATGAAATTACAAAACCGGACAGACTGGCTCTCCTTAGACTGTTTATCTACATGATACCGCAGTCTCACCACACAGTCATATCAATCACAAGTCACCACATCTTGTCTAAGAAAAGATCTTTATTTATAAAAACAGTTTTACCAGTTACAGACTTTACTGAAAAAGCAACTTCTCAGAGCCAAGGCAGGTATGAATCGTACATCATAATTTGACATGGATAGGCAACATTACAAATATACTATGTGTGGAGAGTAAAAAAAAACAAAGATGATTGGTCTCTTTTGCCTTAAAAACTAACTAAAACTGTAATTAACAAGTTGAACAAATTGCATAATGCGCTCTCCCACCTCTCCCATACACACACACAAACCTGACGAAAGTGGAAAAAATATGAAAGAAATGATAAAAAGAAATGGATCACAGACAAAAATGTGCTTTTCGTCCACCTCCCAAATTAAATTAAACGTCAGTATCTCTGCCCAATCGGTCTGTTGAGTCTCCGAGTGAAGACGTCTCCCATATTTAGCCACTTTCTTTAAAACGACACATCAGGAATGCCAATATCAACTATTATATTGTAAAAAAAACTAAAACAGCAAGTAGTGATTATTTCAAAGGATTTAAAGAGGAGATGATTATTCCAGAAAGACCCTCCTGTGTTTGCTACTTTAACGAAGAATAAACCGCCGAGTAGGTCGTTTCTATAGTGTGAACCTTTCACAGTAGAGTAATTCTAAAGCAGAACACCAACATGTTGTATTGGTTTAGTAGTGTAGAATGTTCCCAGCTTCACATTTCAGTGCCAAGTTTGATGCGTTGTACTGGTCTCGTTGGCTAAAAGTCAAAACTCAAGTTGTAATTTTTCTTTCACTTGGGGGGAAAATTAAGGTTTAAAATACAAAAAGAGGCAGTTGGTAGATAAAACAAAAACTTCATCACAGGAGTACACCATGAAAACAGACAACATGAGCGGATGAAATAAGTAACGTGTGGTCTTATGGGTCTGGTCCGTGCACACAAACACACTCACTCCAAGGTCCATATTCATTTTCCACACACACACACACACACACACACACACACACACACGCCCTTTTCTTGTCTACACCTGTGCTCATCCCAACCGAGACAAAATAACTCTAGACAGGAAAATAACTCCGATATAAACATTCTCAATGTAAAAAGGGCAAACCTCCCAACGACCCCAGTAAAGGGACGATTTAAATAAATGAGCCAAAACTAATGCAGTCATCCCGTTTTCTTTTTATATACAGTATATACCCTACATGGACGTCTACGTACAAATTCATCAGCGGGATGCGGGTGTTGGCGTGACGAGATTTACCGAAATGTTGACAAGAGCAAGAAAAAATAAAAACAAGCAGGGTGACAACACCGGAATCAAATGATTGTCAACAAAGGTGATTGCCTTTGGAGGAGAGTTATAATTTAAAAATGGAATACATTTCTGTTGCTACAATTGAATGAATTCGTAAAAAGTAAGTGTGTGTGTGTGTGTGTGTGTGTGTGTGTACGCGTGTGTGTTGCATGAAATGGTTTGCCTGCAACACGGCCACTTTCTTTGGATGCCAACTCTCATCTTCTAATCCTATCGGTGTGGTGATAGAGAGAGAAAGAGAGGAGGAGAGGAGGGGGGAGGGAGGGAGAGAGTCTGTGCATCTGGATCTTCTCTCCTCAGTAGCAGTGGTAGGGCAGCGACGGCCCGGTCTGGGTGATGCACACGATCAGTTTTTCTGGAGGATCAGAGCAAAATACGGCGATTAAAACAAGAGTCGAAATGTGAACACAAGAATTATCTAATGTGGGCAACACAAAGACTGTCTGGTATAAGTGCACAGTAGTGCCGTCACAATAACCACACGTTCAATAAAACCAACCTAAAACTAAATGAAGCGTAGTTTAACTTCTCCAAATACAGTCAACACGTTCATCTTCTGTTTAATCCTTATTCTCAAACTACTAGGAAGTTACTTAATAGATGATTGCAAATATCCAATTCATTAAATCTGTATATGTTATTGTGGCTCGTATGTTGTTGTAATACTCTGCAGAGCCACAGGAGCGCACATCTAGACCACGAGCAACAGAAGACAGAGCAGCAGCAAAGTACTTTGATCCTGTTCTAAAATGCAAAATTCAGTGGAGTCAAATATTTCACAACATGGCAATAGTATCAACAAACTACATTCCTAAAGTTACTCTACTCTGGCAGGTAAAAACAACACTACTATATTGAGTGGAAAACTGATCACACAAGTGTTTTATTCTTGTTGTAGTAATTAGTGTTTTCATTTTACAATTAGCATTGGTATCAAACTATTGTGACAACACTACTGCACAAACAAAAGCTTTTATTGAGGATTTAAATCTTAATCATCAGCTTTAGGTTCCTCTCTATACGGACCACAATGCACCAGGAGCACCTTGCAGCATACTATACTAGCATGTACACATCACACTGGGGCATCGTATAGTTAAACATCAGTACGCCATCATAGACCAGGTTTCACTGGCACTCTGAGGTTATAAAGATACCAAAAGGAACAGAGCTCATAGAGTCCATGCAGGACGAGAGGTGAGTTGGACATACCATGCTGTTACATGCAGAGGGGGTAGAGGGGAGGGGGAGGGGCTAACCATCGTAGGAGTCCAACAGGGGCAAGGAGCCCTTCCTGCCCCCATACACCCCTCGCTGAGAGACCACCAGAGAAAGAGAGAAGAGGAAGTGAGTGTAAGAAAAGAAAAGTCAGTAATTGTGAGGCTTTTAAAAAGCTGCCAAAGGGTTACAGTCAGGAAATACTCATATTGGAGCCGGAGATTAGGATTTAGTGTAGTTAAGTGAGCAATTCAACATGATATGTGAGCGCTGCACAGATTTAAAGTACCGGTAAAGTGTCTGTGGTGTCATCCAGAGTGTGTCTCCTCTCCCTCTGGTCCAGTGTCGAGTAGGCCTCTGAGGAAATAAGACGACAAGAATGAGAAAGAAAGAATACAACATCTCACCGTGATTCATCATGATGATGAATGCGTCTTTATTAAAAGCTGTAATGATAAATGAACTAACCAGGGCCAAGGTCATTTAGTGGAATCATGTCCCTCTTCTCCCCTAAAATGAAACAAAACAGAGTCACACTCAACTTTCCTCACAAGTTTCCAAATGAGTTCCTTGCACACCGACCTCTGTCCAGCAGCGGCGTGGTGCTGTCCTCGTAGGTGCCGTTGGCTCGGGTGCTCGGGCCGTTGGCGGTGCCGAGGTTCAACATGAAGTCCGTCTTCTTCCAGCCATCCTTCTCGAGAGGCTTGCGCAGCTCTTTGTGGGCCCAGACGAGCTGCAGCACCTGGCCGGCCCCACGCACCTCACGCTCCGAGCGCTTGCTGTCAGATACACAGACGTACGTCCACACGTTTACTAAAGTATTCGCTAGATATTTTTAAACGGCCAGTTCACAAAGGGTCAGACGCTTCATTCCTCAACATGTAGGAGCTTTTTTTTCTGTTTCTGAAACACGTACCCGTCCTTGTTGATGAGCACCAGCCTCTCGATGCCCTGAGAGGCTCGGAGGGTCTTTGCTGCCTCCACACTGTTGCCTAGCACCTCGGTGAGCGTGCTCAGTACAGACACCACCGTCTCCTCTGACAGAGCGCGCCCAGACTGACTCTGGCCTCCGGGCAGGTTGGCCACAAGGTGAGGCACTGCATGCAAACCTGCAGGTGACACGCAGTGAGGTAAGAATATGTGACTGGAGTGAGACAAATGCAAAACACCCCAAAATCCAAGTCTGAAAACTTGCACAAGCTTGAAATATTGTCTTTAGAATAACTGGAGTTGTCCAGTAGAAGAGAAGTTGAGATATGTTATTCGAGAGCATTTTGTAGCTATTTTGGACGCACAATACGACATCCTTACCGAGCAGTTGGCAGTTGCGTCTGTCGATGGACAGGTTCCTCAAGGCTCCGGACATTGCTCGAACCACGCGGTCGTTGCCGTGAGCCAGTAGCTCTGCCATCATGGGAAGACCCTTCTCCAGGCGCACAGTGGCCCTGATATACCGCCCATACTGAAGGCAAGCACAGAGAGACAGAGAGAGACAGAGAGAGAGGCAGAGAGAGAGGCAGAGAGACAGAGAGAGAGACAGAGAGAGAGAAATGAATATCGCTTTTGTTACAGAACCGTGGACCTTAGTTATCACAACTGGCTAATCCGATTAAATGTATTTTAATAGACAAAAAATGCTCATTCAAACCGAGACGTCACCTGAAAACACTTCTAATATATTCCCCCCCCCAACAGCAGAGGTTCAGTTTATTAAGAAGCGGTACTAACAGTCCATCGGCCAGCACACAGGTTCTGGATGGCTCCGGCAGCGGCCTCGAGCACCGAGGGGTTCTTGCTCTCTCGGAGCAGCGATGTGTAAACACGAACCACCTCTGGTTGGAACAACAGCTCGTAACCTGAAGGCGACACGCAGAGAGAAAGAGAGAGGTGTTGGTTCAGATTTACAGTTTGAAAAACAGCAACATTTGTGCTATATTTACTTATTACTTCCACCAGCCTGAACGGTTCGTCTGTGTGACTGAATGGCAGCATTTGTCTATTCGTACACATTTTGTAGCCTCACTTAGAAAACATTTTAAAGCAGAAACTACTACCTACTATTGTGTCCACTAGTTTGAAACCATGATCATATTGTGAGTGTTAAAGGGGGAAGTATCAACATGTTCAGCTGGTTCCCCATTCTTAGCTAAGATCTTATCTTTTTACAGGAGAACTAATGTTAATGTTTAGCAGTAGCAAATAACGCCAACAACCCCAAATAAATGTAAGAGCTGTCGGTTTTCCCGGTGGGAACATTGCTAAACAAGACATGACGAGATTCAAGATCAATTCATCTGATCAATTCTAAATGATTTGAAGGGAAAAGAGAGACATGCACACCTTTGGCGGGTGTTGTCCTCTTTGGAATGTCGACCTGATCTCCACTTCCATCATCGCTGTCCTTCTTTGCTGCAGCGAGAAATCAAAGAAGAAAAGGAGCGAACATGAAAGACTGAACTGAGGAAACAACAGTGACGATGTGACGCTGGTTGGGATGAGCAGGCAGTTATCCTCAGTGCGACCATGCAACCAGGGGAACAAACACCGTGAACATGCATCATGCTCATGAACTGAATGTGAATTTAATATTTCTCTAGCAACGCATTAATGAGTAATGATAGAGTGGTCAATACTTTCAAAAGCTCAGACACCAAGAGGAGAATCTTACCTTTTGAAAACCACTCATCTAAACATAGCAGAGAGAAAGGACGAAATGAAGGAGGGTTGGAAGAAAGATGAGGGGGGAGGGTGAGAGGGAGGAGAGAGACAAGAGGAAAAGGAGGGAGACAGGTGTAGAGTGTGAAAAACAGCGACAGGTGCTTCCGCCACCAACAAGCTCACAGCCACCAGCAGCTACCCATCGCTCAACATCTCGTGGACACACGACTCGGAGCTGTGGGACACTGACCTTTTCCCTTTCGAGAGCCAAAGCAGCCGCCCTTGGTAGCGGGGACCGGCCCCTGGTTGACGGGCGTGGTCTCGGCGAAGCGCTCGTAGCCGGGGACTTCGCGGTGAACGTGATAGGACAGGTTCCTCAGGAGGCAGACGCAGTTCTCCACCAACTGCAGGAAGAGAAGAAGAACGAGATGATCAAAGACGGAGGCAGGAGGAAGAGAAGCGTTTTGGATTCATAAGATAAAATCTGTCATCCGACTTAAGTGAACAGGTACCTTATTGTCCACATTTTTGCGGTTGATCTGTGATTGGACAATGTACATGAGAGAATCCACCAATCCCGTGCATTCCCTCAGCTTTCGCCTGGCCTCGCTGCGTTCTGAACTCACATTCCTGTTGGACAGAGGGAGAAGTTTAAGCACATAATTGCACGTTTTCCTCTCAAAATAGTCTCCCTTTCTCCTTCTTTGACTTTGTATGCTCTCAGTCCATTGATGCCCTTGCATACCTAAGGCAGCCAGCAGTGTTGGTCAAGGCGGTCTCCCACTCCAGATGGCGTGGTTTGCAGCTCTCCTCTCCTCCGTTGCTCGCTTGCTCCCAGCCGGAGTGAGGAACGACCACCTCGTCAGAGAGGGCGTGCAGGGCGTGGTCCACGATCTCCATCTTGACCGAGTCGTGGGATGAGAGGTTCCACAAGGTGCCTGGGACGATAGAATAAACACTGTTAACGGCAGATATAAGAGACAGTTTAACAAACTACAAATGATGATATAACGTTGATACCTGTGATGGTGTCAGTGAGGTCCTGGTCGCGGGTTTTTCTCAGTAACCTGGTCAGTCCGGGCACTCCATCGCAGTTCTTGATGGCGATCTTGTTGTCGTGGTCTCGCCCGTATGAAATGTTCTTTAGTGCTCCGCAGGCCGAGTGGTGCACGTCCTTGCTGGGATGGTCCAGCATCGACACCAAGGACGGGATGCCCTTCAGGCGACGCACGTCCGACTTTACCTACAACACGCACGCACAAAATGATGAAACTCACGTTAAGGATTTGCCAAATAGATACAGATTTGTTATTTATAAACACATTTGAATGCGACCACTGCGTCACCTTATCATTTTTGAATGTGAGATGTTGGAGGAATGCAGCGGCGTTGGTCTTGACCGGGTCCAGGCGGTAGTTCAACATGGCAATGACCTCTGGCAGCTCTGGCTGTCTCCATGAACCGGGAGGAGCCTTCCTCAGTGTGCTGTCCAGTGACGCCATGCTCCCCCTCTCCATCGTCATCGGAACGCCCCAGGCATAAGGGTCGCCTCCTCCAACGTCACCATCCAAAGTGTCCTCACAGCTCCTGCATGTCGCAAGAGCAGATAAAGAGAGAAACATTGGTTTGATTTGTTTGTTTGCTCACATACAAGAACGATATGACAACACAGCAATGCTTCAGTGTTATACCTGAGTCTCCGTCTGTCCATGCCCCCGGGGCCGGCCCCTAAGCGTGGCATGGTGCCGTAGCCTCCAGGGTGCATTGGTGGAGGACCCATGCCATAGTCGTCATATCCCACACTGCGCTGGTCATCCTCCAGACCGTAGTGGCCGGGGCCTTGGCCGTACCGCACCTCCAGCGCTGAGCCTAAGGCCCTCATCCCCCGGCTCACCTGGGGCTGTGCTGCATACGGGTCAAGCTGCTGACGGCTGGGGGCGCGGTAGCCAGAGTCCAGGGTCCGGTAGCCGTCAACTGGCCTGGGGGAGGGAAGAAGGGAATGAGAGAAGTTGTTAAAGTGAGATCCCATCCTGTGTATAAACAACACAATGAAATGTGCCACACAAGAAAACAGTCACAGCACTCTCCTACAGAGGGGTGTTGTACCTGTAGCGCTCGTCCATGTGCGAGCCCCTGCTCAGGCTAGTGTAAGCCTCCGACGGTGGGCCGCCCCGGTAGTCATCATAACCCCCTGCAGGGGCATAGTGGTAGTTTCTGGGCACTGTGGTGGTGGGGTAGTCTGCTGGTCCAGGCTGCCTGTAAGGACGGTCCAGTGTGACGCTGTAGCCGCCCATACCGGACACCGACAAGCCCCCGTCAATGGACATCGAGTCAGAGGGCAGGACTGTGCGCGAGATCGGTTTCTTCATCTAAAAAGGAGGAGCGATGATGCAACGAAATATGTTCATGGTAGAGGATTACCAAGGGGTGTCATATCCTTGAACATAATTATTTTTTACTCTTCATGTTTGATGAAATCACAGCTCATGAGTCATCATCACTTACGCCATTGTCCAGCCGCCGTGTGGGTCCCTCGTCAGAAAATACCGAGTGCACCTCCTGGGAGTCGTCCTCTGGTGTGTAGCTCTCATCTAGAGCGCCGTGTGCTGGGTCCACCATCCTGTACTGTAGTGCAGAGGCACACCGCACAGTTATATTTCAAATCACTGGCACTTACTGCTATAACTACAAGAAAAATTGACACGATAAACTATACAAACACGTACCTGTGTGCCGTTTATGTATGAATCAGTCAGTTTCAGTCGTTCTATGTCTGCATCCCCTAAACGCCCGTTCTGAGATGATAAAGAAAGACGTGAGTGAGTGAGTGAGTGAGTGAGATCTAGATCTAGATATATATAGATAGATATCTATATATAGATATCTATAGATAGATAGATAGATATAGATATCTATATAGATAGATAGATATCTATATAGATAGATAGATAT